GGCAAGGGCTATTTTTATTCATTTTTATAGCCATGTGGTAATATAGTTTTTAGCATATAGTAGGTACTGACAAAGTATTGACTGACTGGAAGAATAATAGAATAAAACAATGAAAAAAATCTCCTGCCACACATATATCCGATCACGGAAAACAATGTTTCTTGAAGTGTGATCACAATCACCAAGATGCTTGTTAAAATGCATATTCCTGGGCTCTATTCTAGGTCTTTCGAATCTGAATCTCTGGGAATGCAGCCTTGAATCCACAATGATAACAGCTTATCCAGGAATTTTTCACATGCTGAAGTTTGAGGACCTGTACAGTAGGATATGGGATGCACAGCCACTTTAAAAAGGGAATAAAAGCATGGGCTTTGTAAATAATTTTAGCTGCCCAGGCTTCATTTCCCTTCTCTGCACAGTGATTCTTTAATGGCTACAGCGTGCTCTCAGTATTGTCCGGAGTTTTGCAGTCTGTGCCACAGAAGGAAGTAAGGCAGCACTAACAGCTTCCTCAGAGTGGAGAGTGAAACGTCCTCAAGCATGTGTTCATGTTGATGTGGTCCTCCAAAGTACATGTTCTCTGCTTCTCGCTGACTGACTCCAAACAATTCGCCAACTACTCTGAGCCACTGGTCTTAAGAAATGCTCAAAATGTTTTCCAGGGATCAGTTCTCTTTTTTTCACCTCCTCTGTGGGAACGAGGCAGCTTTTAATGTGTTTTTCAGATATGGGGTTGGGAAGGATGAAGTGCTTTTAATTTACGACACTGACACATATCATCCTGGTACCACCCTGGCCACGCTGTCCCTGGGACACTTTCCATCACTTGTGATGAATGGCCCACAAACAGCCAGTCAACCCAAAAAACAAGCCAGCTGGCGTGGCAGAAAGGCCAATCAACCACTTCATTTAGTTTTTGCTTTATATCATTTTAAGAGCGTCCAGATTTCTTGACTAGCTGAACACTTTTTAAAAGGTTTGCACCTTTAAAATGTAGGCCGCTATTCCACTCAGATATAATTTTACCCCAAATATTGTGACCCTAACATTTTAAACATGTTAAAGAAAAATTTGAACATATTTTCAGCCAACCTCAATTTAAAATATTTTCACTTGTCAGGAAGGATCAATATATAATACTTACCTACTTGTCTATGAAAAATATAATTTTCATCATCTTTGAAAAAAACTGTAATCTTTCTTGGAAGTCATTTTACCTTGTCACTGAATGCAAACACACTCATATTAACTTCTTGCTTTGCTGCAACAGGTTTCTAAAGAGAAAAAATACTTTTTATTCATGTGAAATAAGCTTTGATTGATATCATGAAGTCTAATGACAGGCTGAAAGATACTTGAATGCAGATGCAATGTCATGAGAATTTTCTCCTCCTTTACCGTGTATAATATTGTTTTACACATAGTAGATCTTTAATGACTTTTTTTATTTGAAAAACATTGACTGTTGTTCTGAAGTAGTAATGATAGCTAGTAAATATTAAGCCCATAGCTAATAAACACTAAGTATACGGTAGCAGCAAATCAATGCATTTAATAAGGGTATGATGGTTACTAAGTATCCTTTCTAGAGAGGGAGAGGCCAAGAAGGGCTCAGTAACTTGCTCAAGGTCAGCCGTGTAGTCGGCATTGGGCCTGGATCTGAACTCCAGCAGGCTGTCTCCAGAGCTAGCATTCTTACTTTCAACACTAAATAACTTATTCTTTATTGTCCTAACAGAAAATCACAATGACCCACATTGGACTAAAGAATAGATTCCTTCTGAAGTTAATGCTGAAAGCCCATCCAGGACGTTGTCTTGGCCTTTTCACTGTTAAAAGTTTCTTTGGTGCTTATTTGAAACAGATGTAAACACTTAAAACATCCACTCGCATTGTGTTTCCCTGTGATTTGCTGGAATATGTCAGGTTGCCTCCAGGAGAGCCATTTCTAACTGACTGTCTGATTTCATTCGCCTTCCTACTCGTCTACGGACCTGCGGCTTCATGGGTCTGGTAAAGCACGATCGGTCAGAGGGTTATTAGCGTCTCCTGCCAACATTCTGTCACTTCCTGTTGTAGAAAGTTCTAGGACAGCCAGGAGAAGAAGCTGGGTGGGTTTTCCCAAGCAAAGTTTTCTCAACCAAGCCTTCTGGCAATGCGTGCTCACTGGCTGGTGCTAGTACAAAGTGTATCTCACATTTAACTGCAGGAGCTATTAGGTGGGAGGTACTTAAAAGTTTTTGCCCTGCAAATGGTTTGCTCTCTTTCTGTTATTATTCTTCAGTCAATTTAAGAGTAAGTTGACTTTTTATCGTTACAAATTTTGCTCTTTAACCCTTCATGTTTATTGTTTGTTCAACTCTTTCTACAGTTTAAACTATATGTATTTTATGATTTTGCATGCCAAGCGACAGGAGCAGAAAAATGTCACCTTGAGTCCTCAGTGCAGGGCACTCTCTATCTCTAAGGATATCTGAATGACAATATCATTTTAATATGCTTTATTTCTATATGTGGTAACAGGAAAGATTTCCCATTGTCAGACAATGAGCATTTTTGGTTAATTAAAGTTTTGAGCTAATAAAAATATATAATAGATTTTACAAAATTAAAAAAGATGAAAATATACTTGGCACCAATCAAAACATATTATCTTTTCTGATGGCTCAGAAGGTCCTTCAGAATCTTGCTTTATGTCAAAATTTCCCCAGTGTTTATCAGTTAAAACTATATTCGGGAAATGAGAAACAAAGATGTGTTTGGATTATACTTAGATGTACTGAAATCATGTTTCTGAGTCCTTTGAGCCAAGAATGGAGAACATTGTCTCTCACTGTGAGGTTTCAGGCAACTTGCATCCAAAGCTCTAATCTGTAGAAGAAATGTAGTGAAAAATCTCCTTCTTATGATGAAATCCTCCTGATGTTTTGGCACCTGTACCCCTCACTGTACCCCCTTCATCTTATGCTATAGCATTTGTTGTGTATTTTCTGTACTTGTACATTGTCTAGAAATTGCCTTTGTATTTCCTGTATTCCTCACGTGCCAGGATTTACTCCTCTCTGTATCCTCCCTTCCAGCCCTGTGACTTTGAAGACAAATCTTCAGCACATTGGCATGTTTTATTGATGTTGGAGACACAAAGTACAACATTTCATTTAATGTGGTGCTCTTGAAAAAAATTTAAGGTGATGTTGCTTATTTGTGGAGTTCAGTCTTCAGTGTTCAACGTAAGCAGCAGCGTGACACGTTTGGAGTTCTTGTGATGCTCACTCATTTTTGGTTTTATGTAGATGAGTGTCAATCCGAGGAGTCTTTGTTAGTCTGGTTCATTGCTATGGTATCACATAGGATTTCATTTTTTTAGGCTGCTTATGACCTTATTAAATAGCAGTCCAAAAATCGTGTAGCTTGTTTTGATTTTAACCAAAGTTACAGCTGCCTAGCTGTAAAGCAGTCAGTTTCTTTTATTATGACTAGTTCTTCAACTTGTACTGTTTTAAATTGCCTGCAATTAGCATATTTCAACCTTATTTTTAGGTTTAAATTGCAGTGTGAGAGTGTACTCTCCTTTTAGCTAATTAGTGCTATCAAGGAACAGTAGGTTACCTCATTAGTACCATGTGCATTTAATTAAAGAAGAGAAAATTGGAGTTAACCTCATAGTTAATATTTTCACAGAGTGCTACGATGCCAGCACCTTCAACTGGAGTCACACCCCTGTGTATCTAATTATGCAGTGGTGCCAAATAAGGTTAGAAAGGGCACGACAGGGCTGTTGACAAAATAATTTAGATGAAGACGTGTTTGTTGGATTCTGACAGTAAAATATAACTGGAACATTTTCCTCCTAGTCCTCCTCTGCCAGCATCGGGTGACATTCTTCTTCACAGAGAACTGAAGGAAGGGAATATTTTGGAAGCCATTTTCTTGTTTGAATTAATGTTGCTCTCATCTTGAAAAAAATGGCATATAGTCATGTAAAGCATCTACTATCTGTTTCTTAAACAGTGTCCCTGAACTTCAGAGATATATTTGAAAAGAATTATTTATAAGATGTAATATTTACATGCATCAAACCACTGCAAATACTCCCTGACACCCCAACCACATCCCTCCTTGCTTTTCTTCTTTTCTGAAATACTTATAATTTCCCTTGTGTATCTTATGAGTGGGGATCATCCTTTCATATCATATGTGAAGTCGAAGGACGTGTTGTCACATGATCAATTCAAATGCAGTGAAATCTTTTTGCCCTTCAGACAAAAATCTTTGATATGTCTAACACTACTTAGGTAAAAAATGACATTCTATGTTATTTATCAATAAATAATCACTTTGCTTTAAAGATAAAAGTACAAACTATACATTTGAGTATATAGAGTAGTTTTCAATACAAATGGCACATTCAACAGGTTTGAACAGACATGATGGATTTTGGCTCCACAGTCTTAAATATATATTTAAAGGCAATGTCTGTGTTATAGTAATACTTGATGAAGACATTTTATTTAAAGAGATTCTTGTGATTTGTCTCACATTTTGTGACAAGATAGGATTTCTATTCATTTGTATTGACTATAATTGACTACAAAGTTGTTTTTTTCAAAAAGAGATAAAGTTTTAAGAACAAATAACACCCCACACTCTAAAATCACAGAGCCACTTAAATTTGTTGAACATTGGCCATAATTTTAGCTTAGAAATGGGAAGTGAGGTTCCTAAGTCAAGATCATGGTAGATAATCAATGAAATTTTGGTTAGTGGTTAATGCATTGTGTTCAAATATTCAATTTTGCCTCTGCCAAATTATTTCTATTTTTTAAATCTATACTATTATTAACTGTGAGACAAAGATGGAATGGTCTTATTTATATTGACCTACCAAGATAATAATCCAAAAAATATTTTTTAAATGATAATGTACATTATTAACATAAGTCTTAAGATTGAAGAAAGGAAAAAAGCCAACTCCTGGTTCTCTTTGTTTAATCTAGGACTTGCTTCCAGAAACAAAATTTTGTGTCTGTGGCCACTCTTCTGGTGATGGGCATCCTCACAACACATTTGCAGTAAGTTCCTGGGCGATTGGCAATCAGCTCTGAGCACAGGGCCATGGGCCAAGCGTCACTAAGCAGATTGTATTTTCTATTAGCCACTCCCTTCCACTGAGGTAGATGACCAAGAGATGACTAATGTCAATATCCAGGTGTAATTAGTTGGTTTTGTTTCTTGTATTCTCACTTCAGTTATGTTTCATCAGAATAAGCTCTCAATTTCTGTGACTTGATGGCAGGAAAGTTTACCTTGAATATATAAAGGCATGTGGCTGTGTCACCGCTACATGTTTCTTGAACTTTTAGGAATAATTTGATGAGAAAGTACTGATATGCAGAAAATAAATAGATGGAGATCATGGATAGATACAATACATATTTTAGGGAAAAGTTGCTGTTCCTTGTTCTGCAAGTTACCATATAAATATGCCAAGGTCTTTTTTTTTAACATATTCTGTCATTAGAGTGTAATTTGTCTCTTTAGATTATAATAGTCAATGAAAATTGCTTTCGTGACCCAATTCCCATACCAGTTAGCCTTGGAAATGAATAGCAATACTGAAGTAGCCATTCAAGAATTTTTAAATAGAGCAACTTCATGTTTCTATTTAGCATGGATACTACCTGTATTCTTAAGGAATCTCTAAATATGTAAGTCCTATGCATATTTTCATATATAGAATTTTTGCTTGTTTCCTCAAAAATGGATGTACTTATTTAGTTTTCTTGGAGTAGAGTATTACTAAATTGACTCACCTGAAATGTATTGTTTTTACTACCCTATGCATAATATCTTCTAATGTATAATTAATAGAACACAATACAGTTAAGACTCTTAAAAACAAGTAATGTGTGTCTTCCTGAATGAAGAATAAATATCTAATTTCATACCTTAGTTAAAAAAAGATTTTTCTCAATAAAATAGTGTCAAATTAATATGTAATACTATCCTTTGTGGAAATATATAAACATGAAACATTGTTTTAATGTTAGGTGCAAAACAAACATAGAAGTGGAAACAGCAAAAACGTGTACTATTTTATGGAAATAGTGAATACAGAAGACTGGTAATGGATTTTGTACATAAAAGCAGGTTTCATAATGATCTGAAAGTATCTAGTTTGGGGTTTCATGCATTTTAATCTTAAAGTGTTTGCCACTCCTCATCTTTCTTTGCAATAACAACAGTTGAAAAAATATAAAAATTTAAAAATAATGGTAAGTTTTGCTGAAATGATATGAAGTTATGTGAAAAACTAAAATGATCTTAAAAATGGAACCGGCAGAATTCCTAATTGGTGACACTTTTTCCTAAAATAATCCCAATGGAAAAATTGTTTTCATTAGACTGAGAGTGAGCTGGCTTAACTACTGATAATATTTGTTCTTTATCTGAAACTCCTTCTACAATTAAAAAACAAAATTCTGTATTCTACTGATGTAAGAAGAAACCTACAACATCAGAGCTTTATATTTTCGCTGACATGTCTTCAGAATGAAAATGAACCATTACGTGACTCACCAGAGGCCATGAAGTTTCTAATGGCATGGCTGAATTTATAGGCCAAATTCGTGATTACCAATGTATTGGTCTTTCCAAAGGTGTGCCAGATTTTTGATGGCTGCTTTGAGTTGAATAGATGTCTGAGGTCTTTCCATGTGTCTGAGGTTGCAGTTAGTCCCTAAGACAGAAGGAATACCAGGATGAATTAGTGAGATCTTCTTAGTTTGTGGGGACAGGGCGTGGCAGTGCATGGACCAGGAGTCGGCCCCTTCTGCAGGGCTCCAAACGCTGCTCTTGGTCAGTCACTGAGTGACTTTGCAAGTGATGCTTCTTGGCTTCACAACACAAGAAAAATGCTACATATTTGTAAGTAGGTGCTTATTTTTCTTTTGTTGATACATTATATATAAATTTTCTGCTGGTTAACATGGCTACATAACGGGGTTTAAAATCAAGATGTAAACTAAAACAAATACTATGTACTACTCAGAGCTGACAATTTCTATGTGACAGGCATGGCTCTCGGTACTCATTAAGTTTTATAAGTACCAATAAGCCGGAGTGGTAGTCTACTAAGTCCGAGATTACGGGGTGGTTATAGGGGAGGAAGGTGTAGAAACAATAGGGATACATAATGCCAGCCATGTTTCTTAATAATCTATATAACTGACATTTACAATAACTTGCGAATCATTGTAATAGTTCTCAAATTTTTAGGAGAGCCTCTATCATGTCCTATCAGTGTGTTAACTTACTATCATACATATTACTTCCATGGTTGATCACAAATAAAAAGCCAAAATTTTGAGGCATGTGTTCCAAATTGGCAGATCAATTTTTACTTCCCCCATCTTCACTGAAAAAACTAAAACCTTGTAAGTTTATTAATAAGCCTGAAGTGCCATAAATTGCAAGGGGTGGGGGGGAGTCACAATTACTAAGTGTAGGTTAAAGCCCTATTACCTTGAAGAAATAAGTAATATTACAGACTTGATGTTAACTGTTGTCAAAGCTCTCCATCATACCATCCCTCTCCGGTACTTATTGTATCAAGTTCCTAACAAAAATGCAAGAAAAATATATTTCAGAGGAGTATTTCTGGTGTTTTGGTATGTAAGTAGCCATCAGATGTTAGCCGTCATCCGAGTATGGTGCCTCCTTATTGTCATGTCGTTGAACAGTAGTGAGTTTTTCATGTCCCCTTTAATGCATTAGGTTGACTGTGCCTCTACGCGTTCATTGCAGTACTTGATAGCAGTCGCTCTACTCACTTATATCATCTCTACCTGAAAATTGGCATCTTGACGTCTATCTACCTGTTGTATTTAAAAGAAATGTTTGGGCTCCCTGAGTTGTATGTTTGATATTCTAAGAATAAGAGTATAATATCCTGATTGTAACTTTGACTTTTGTAGGACAAAGCACCAAGTTCTGGCTTACAGGACAGGAGTAGAAGAGTAAGAGATCATTGTGAGAAACTAACTTTCAATACATGCTTTCACACGCAGGAGTTTCAAATGATGTATAGTTAATCCTAATCTGGAAAAACATCTTCACTTACTTTACTTTTCTGTCAAACTTTAGTAATAGGATAGATGCCTTTATTTTCCCCGATACATAAAACAACTTTACAAATGGATCCTAAATTCTGCAATCTTTGGTTTCGCTGCCACACAATCATAACCCAAGTTCATTCCTCAGTAACTAGACCTTGTTGACACCTCATCTGCCGAATGGACTCATTATCACCTACCTACAGATAATCTGATTGTTAGTCTTGCCTACAGGTTTTTACACCTAAGCGAATACAACTTTACAGAGGGCTTTGCCCGTTAGCTCTAAGTGCTAAGGCAATTATGTTGAATGCTTCGAGTCTTTGTCTTTTGGGCCATATTTTCAAAACCTTTAGCATTGGGTCAAAAGAATACTTGGATGAACAAAAGTTGTTGGACCTAAAAACTGAGAAGGAAAATTGGCTGGTCTTAGACCAGCTGGCTTATATCACATTCAAATTAAATTAAAAAAAAAATTCATTGACCACATTGGATCAGATCTTCACTCTGTTTTGATTGCCTCCTGAATGTTTCATTTTGATAGGAATTGTGTATTGGAGCAAATAAGAAAAAGACAACAGGGACAGTTTTTAAGAATTTATTTTCTGTTCCAAATTCATCTCTTCTTTTAGGCTTTACATAAATTGTACCCAGCACCAAATAACCTATCCCATGGGCTCTGGGTCAGCTTTCTAGACTGAACATTGGGCAAATTACTTGATCTTATTTATCCTCATGCTCTCAATCTGTGAAACTCACACAGTAGTAGTATCTTTCTCATAGGCTGGTAATGGGACTAAATTTGATAACTCCAAAAAGTACTTAGCATGATGACTAACATAGGAAGTGTCAACCGATGTTCGAGTCAGTATCTGTACTAGCATTACTATACACTTGCTTGAACCAAAAAGGCAATTCTATTTGACGTACATCTAAATATATATTTGGTATTAGCACTAAATAAGACACATTGGGCATTGTACCTTGGGTCATGCCTGAGATAAATGGAAATGTTCCTTAGAGGGGAAAGTCTTTGGATTCATTAATTTAAATTGAACACCTACTTAATTACAAAAATCGGTGTTATCCAAAGTTTTCTGATTTGTTAAGTGGAAGAGAAAGAACCTTGCTTCCCCAGACCCAAATGATGTCCTGGAAACCAAGGAAACATGTGGCTAAAGAATGAGGGGAAGTGATTGTCCCCCCAATGGTCTGTGTCCAGTGAGAGATGCAAACTTAGGAGATACAGGCGGCAGTGCCCTACTATCCCCAGTGTTTTCTTTCTTCTCTATTATAACTGTATTGGCAGAGATTAACTACGAGTTAAAGATCCAGTACTACTTATTATAGTATTGATCATTTTAACTAACATGCTGGAGACAATTAACTGGGGATAATGTGGTAATGTTTTTGGAGAGTCCTTCCTATGAAACCTATATTGCAAGATTTAACACTTTACTATTACTGTAAAGTTGTGTTAGAATAAATCAGAATTTATTATGAAGCAGTACAAATTAGATTTGTGAAATCATCATGTTCATTTGGAAAAATTTTTATTCACTATTATGATAGTATCAATTCTATGCTACTAAGTCCTTTGGTATGAAATAACCTTAGAATAAACAAATATTTCAAACACAGATCTAACAGCTGATTTTGTTAATGCCATAAAGCTATAATATAGTGACCATGTTTAAGGCTATTATTAAAACCTTCCAGATTTTTCATTGGAATTGGAATAAAGGTTTCTGTTTCTAAAGCTTTGGCTGACATTTGTATGTGACTTCTTGATTAATCTTTTTCTGTCCTAGTGTAATTCAAGATGTTAATAATTATCTTTCTACACCACACTCAGCTGAGGTATAGCTCCCTGAGCTTAGTTCATTCTAGACACCTCTCTCGAGTGATTGCCTCTCACCTTCTATTTTATTGCAATATTTGAGATTGCCATGAATTCT